GAAGGAAGGAAGGAAGGAAGGAAGGAAGGAAGGAAGGAAGGAAGGAAGGAAGGAAGGAAGGAAAGAAGGAAGGAAGGAAGGAAGGAAAGAAGGAAGGAAGAAAGACAAGAAAGCTCAGTCTTCTGACTTTGATAGAATAAGATTCCAAATGGTCTTCTTCCCCACTTCAACCTCAACGATCATAAAGATTCTCAGGAGGTCTTTCTCCAATTTTTGTTTCTTCTGACTTCACAATCTTTCCTATCTGTTTTACTTCCTCCAACAGTTTTCCTTCCTCATTCCCCATTTTGAGGCAAAAGATAAACACAAACTTCTTTCCCTTAAATTTAAACATGAAACACAAGACCAGTGATATAGCAGGTTTTCGCTAAAGGTTGGGGTAAAGAAGGGAATTATGCTCTCACACATGACAAAAATGTCACATTTATCGGGGGATCTAATGTATGGCATGGTAACTATAGTTAAAAATGCTGTATTATATACTACTTGAAAGTTCTAAGAGTAGATCTTAAAAATTCTCACTCCCTGCCCCCACTAAAGATAATTATGTGAAATGATAGAAGTATTAACTAACCCTATTGTGGTATTCATTTTGTAATATGTATGTGTATAAAATCATCATGGGTATACCTTGAACTTACACAATGTTGTATGTCACTTAAATTCAAAATAAAGCTGGAAAAAAATTAACATTTAGTATTAATTATTCCCATTGTTAAAATCCCTTTGGCTCTCCCTTACACTCATATATTCTCACTGATTTTGAAAAATTTTCCTGCCACTAGCCAGAGTCTTGAGCCATTTCTTTGTCTTCACTCTTACACCAAGTCTCCAACATCATTCTTATGGATGAAAAAAAAAGTCTGTTAATATGCAGGCAGAGTTCTGTTGTCTTCACAGTTTTCTCTTTGGACCTACCATTTCTATACTTATAAAAGTACCAGCCAATCAAGAGACCACTATTGTGGGTCACGTCTTTTACAACTCTGGATTTGCAGTTTTTTGCTTTTATGATAGAATTATTTGATATGGTCATATCTCATCAGTCTCTTACAAGCAGAAGTAAGCATTATAGGGAATTATCTTTTCAAAATAGGAATTATTCAGAATCCCTTGGAAGGCAGAAATGGCTATCATCCCTTTGCAGTTTGCAAAAAAGCAACAATTTCTGTTCAGCTATAACTTGTCATCAGTTTGTCACCTAGGGATTTGTTTGATACGCTCATTAAGAGAAAAATTCTGTTGGGGAGACACCTTTCACTACCCAATTTAAGTAGCTTATCCACATTGTGGAATGTTCTTTGAGATACCCTCGATAAAGTCCACTGAATTTTAGAAAATCATCATGTAATATTACAGTAGATTAATCTTTCTAAGGCACAGTATGGATCTTACCATTTCCTTGTTTAAAATCAAAACAAAACAAAAAAACAGACATTTTAACCCACTGCTCTACTCTTATTCCCACTGGCTTTCAGAACAGATGAGAAAAGGGTAATCTAGTGATAGTGCAGTCTCAGAATGGCCAAGGCCTGTCCACGTATATTTTTTCCTCCTTTCTATCCCAGGCCAAAATAAACACGGTGCGCGTAGTCCACTATTAACAGCATTGCAACAATGATGTCTTTACTTTAGATGCCCTATCTTTCCAGTTCTCTATCCTTTCCTCTCCTTGGTAGCATTCAACATCCTCAGACTCTCTCATTATGACTTGCTCTATACAAACTGCAGAACTATTTTACACTACAGAGATTATTAATGATAACAATTACAAATCTAAGTTATTAGGCAGGTAAATAATTGTATGGATAGTGGGGTCTTGTTAGGGAAGTATGTGTGTGTGTGTGTGTGTGTGTGTGTGTGTGTGGAGCAGATGTTGGTGTTTACATTCTAACAAGGGTCCTAGTATTGCATTAAAGGAATAAAGTATTGATGGTGACATTTGAAGCACCTACAAGAAGGTGCAGAAATTATTGGAGTTTCTTCAAGTCAAAAAAAGCATGTTTTCCCTTCTTCTCTCCCCGTATTAATATTTCTGGTATACGAACATATGTTCTAGTTGACATAGCCATTGAATGTGTTGGTTCTTTTGTTTTCCTTATAAAGTTATTAATTAATAAATTGACACTATGCCTTATAATCGGCATAAACCCTGCATAAAGTGAGTTTCAATGGGAAAGAACAAGAGAAATTGAAGACATGGAATGCTATGAAAGCCTCTCTTTTATACATTTTCCTCAATGCATGAAAATATAGAAAATAACTGAGAATTAAATTAATACATTGATGCTTTGCTTATAATCAGCAAAATGATGGAAGCAAGGAATACTTTATTATGAGAGGCATGAAGTTTCCTTCACATCCCAGATCATTAGCTGATCTGCTTCCTCACTGTTCTGAAATCCAAAACTAATTGAAATCATGTAGACAATACTGTTACTTGACAAAAGTTAATTAAAACCAGCAGTACTCATCAAGTCTGCAACTACAATTTCTGGTATTTACCCTTGGAACATCACTAATATAGCAATAGTGTTTTGAATAGTATACTATTCACGTGATTTGTACTTGTTGTTTACATGCCTTGTGGATTTAATATTAACACTTAGGTGGTGTTAATATTAAAACATAAAGTAACCAAGCCTCTGAAAGCCAGAGTTCTGATTTTCTGCTGAGACCATTATAAACAAAAACCTTTTGTATAATTAGAATACCTCAGGAGAAAAATAATCAAAAACCTTAGGTTAAGGTAAAAATATTAAAGACCTACTTTTCTGTTAACACTGATCATATCAACTGTGCACAGTTAGAGGAGGAATTTAAATAGATCACAGATAGCTCCTGACAGAGTTTTTGCATGTTTATTTGTAACTAAAAGCATAATTCCGCTGTCAAAGCTTTCTATGGCCTAATTCAAATTCATGGAGCAAAGTAGGGGGAAAAGACAGTATCCAGACTAAATAAATAATCAAAGATTTATTCAGTTACCTAGATCTCAAAAAACAAACTTAAGAGTTTCTTCTGTTTGATAGGAAAGATTTCTGGCCTTGGGCATCATGGATAATTTTTGTTTTCTTTTGCTTTTAAATTATGTTTTAATTTGCAACAATAGCTACTCTTCATTGGACTCCAGGAACAAAGACTTTGGCCTCTGTCATCTACAACATCTGACCAACTCATGCAGACATCAAACATATTAATAGAGATTCTTTAAAATAGTTGAGGGTACTGGCAGAGTACAAAGTAAGTACTAAGGGAGGCTGCTTCCTACAGGAGTTGGGAGGGGATGGGGAGCAGAAAATGTGAGTATGGAAAGGCTCCATGGAGCAGAGGAGACATGAACTAGATCTTATGGATAGACAGGCTTTGTAGAGGTGGGGGTTGGGGAAGACCATTGAGAAGAAAAGAGAAGCATAAACGACATAGAGAAATTGCCCCCAAAGGCTTGCTGGAGATACTTCAGAACAATCAACAGAGTCTAGAGTCTAACAAGAGCAGAAACACGAACCTATAACTGGATTTTCATCTTCCTTTTCTCATTTGTCCTGGTCCTAATTCTAACTAAGCTTCTGGGTACAAGTGTTATAAACTGGTCAAAGTAAAAGAGAGATGGCAAAGATAAACGAGGGGATTACAAACAATTTATTAATGATTGGCAAATTCATTTTTTGAGGCCTAGAGTCAAGAGAGAATCAACTGTTATGTTCAGTAAGGCTCCCCTGTAAGCATAAATAATAGCCAATAAGGCAAATATTATTATCTTTTATTTTGCAGATCAGGTGAAAGGGGTCAAGAAGTCTGAGACACCTAAAGGCTCAAGAAAACCCTGTGAGGTTATTCTCCTGGTCACTTGAGGCTCAGAAAGATTAAAAGGTTTGTTAACAATAACACAGCTCTGTGAAAGTTGAACTAACTTGAGTAAAGTTCTCCTGATTCTTTGCTCCTTTCTCTTCACACTCACTGCCTTAGGCAATTGCAGGTCCACACCCTCTACCCTCCCTTATACAGGAGAAAGACACCACTGGGGATTGTGTTTGCATTTTACAGATTCCATTTCACTAATTTAAAATGCTGAGGTGGTCAGCTTGTATCACTTCTGTTTCCCAGTAATGTTTAACCTTAAGTTAAAAAAAAAATCTAGGAGATAAAAGAGCATGTTTTCTGGCAAGTCCATTCCTTCCCCAGGGGTTATTAATTTCAGAACACATCTGAATTCCTTCTCTGTGGTATAGGCTTGAGTAGAGGAACAGACAGCTCCTGGTCAGGGTCAGATTTCAAATTTTTATTTGTTGGTACCAATACCATTACTAGGTTCTTCTCTGTAGTCAACTATTGAGATCTTCTCTGAATACAACTTGGTGTCTGAAGATCCACAGAGGAGCCTCTGGTCATCATTCTCTTCACAGAATCACAGTCTTCTCTCTCAGCAAAGCATCTGCTGTACTCAGCTTTGCCTTGAGAAACAACACTTTCCCTGAGACCTGGTTGAGAGCAGTTCTCTGGTGCCATACTTCCCAGCATGGAGGTGAAGAACTTTGTAGTTTGGGATTATCTCATCTTTGCAGCCCTCTTTATCATTTCCTCTGGAATAGGGGTGTTCTTTGCTATTAAAGAGAGAAAAAAGATGACTTCCACGGAGTTCCTGGTTGGAGGAAGGCAAATGAGCTTTGGCCCTGTGGCGTTGTCCCTGTCAGCCAGCTTTATGTCAGCTGTCACTGTCCTGGGAGTCCCTTCCGAGGTCTATCTCTTTGGAGCCTCCTTCCTGATCTTCATGATTTCGTATGCTTGTGTCATCATCCTCACATCAGAGCTCTTTCTGCCTGTGTTCTACAGATCTGGCATCACCAGCACTTATGAGGTAAGGCAACGACTCCCTTATTCTTTTCTTTGGTGAGTTGCTATTTTCTCTTCACTTAAACATTTCGCTGTTATTGTTGTTATTTTTGCCTTTTTCTCTAAAAGATGACAACACATGGTAGTTGAAAAACACTCACCTATTTTCAGAATAATTACATATTACAGGAAGAAAAGTTACAGTGTTATTGGGAAAAGTTTAAGCTTTGGATACAGACACACCTGTTCTTTCATCTGTAAAATGGAAATAATGAAGTCGACCCCAGAGGCTATTTCAATAAATAAATAAATGAGAACCTGTACAGGCACATCAAATGCATTGCCTAACTTGTAAGAGATTTTCAGTGAAAGAGAGCTGATGTTATTATTTGTATTATTATTAACATCATTCTTAAAATCATGCAGATTATAGTCATTTCCTGGTAAGAAAACAAAGATAGTACAGATAAAATGACTTAGTCAAGATTGTACAGTGGATAAAACCTACTGAGAACCCATTTTTGTCTGTATCTCTTTCCATCAGATAGTAGAGCTGAGCACTTTAATACAAATTATTACTATCCGCCAATTTTTAGTAGGGAAATGGTAATGTTTTTGAAAAATTAGAAAATATTTTAATGGGGAGGAATTCCTAAATGATACAAATATGGGGAATATTTTAATGAGAAGAAAATGAGGCAGCAGTGTTTCACTTTGCAATTATTTCAATAAAAATATCACATTAAAAATTTAATTTGCATGTTCAATATCACATTAAAAATTGAATTTGCATGTTCAATTATTAATCGGTTTGTATGAAAAAAGTATTTATTTTCCTTATCCAACATCAACCCTACTAAGTCATAACAGAAACTCTTAACAGATCTGTTTTTTTCTTTTTTTAAAAAAAAAATTCTACAAGCTAAATGATAGTAAAGGATTACTCTAGACTTCAAAAGCCTTTCAGGAAAATGAATACTTTCTAGATGGTTTTAAAACTTACAATTCCACAGATGGGGAGGACAGAGAGAGAGAGAGAGAGAGAGAGAGAGAGAGAGAGAGAGAGAGAGAGGGAGGGGGGGGGGGGG